TCACAATCTCAGCCATAGTTCTCCCTTCTTTCTTTTGCCTTTCAGCTGAATGAGTCTGGTTAGTTTCGGTCTGTGATGTTCCTTGAGTTTATATATTTTTCTTTTTCTTGTTACTAATAACTTTCTGAAAATCTTGTTTTGGAGATTTGGTCACAGACTGAGGCTTCATCTCAATTCTCACTTCTTCTTGTCTAACTCTAGATGGTCCCGCTCTTGGAGGAGAAAAAGTTGTTTTGTTTTCTTATTATCATCGCGCAGGCCTTCTTTGATGTTAAGTAAGGCAATCTCCTTGACTTTCCTGGTGATAATTTGATATATTTCTGTAGAAGCCAGGGTCTCCTTTACCATATGCCTCACTATCTGTGGAATTCCCCGGATTCTGGACCTATACTTTATAGCTTTATAACGCAGGGTTTCCAGGATGTCTAAAATATTATCAATTTTCCCCAATATTGCTTTATGCTGAACTCTGTTTATTTTCTTAGCTGCAAGATATTCTTTTAGGGAAGCCTCGATTTTCTTAGCCTCTTGAGCAAGACTTTCTTCTGTTTCTTCGTCCTCAAGATCAGAAGTTTCTTCACGAGGCCTCTTCCTATGTGGTCTTTGTAATTTTTTCGTTGTACTGGGACCTTCCGGTAAAACTTGAACCTCAGGTGTATCTGGGGTCTCTAACGCACCCGGAATCTTCGCAATCTCCTCTACTATTAAGACTACGGCATCTTCTATGTTACTCTCTAGGTCCATATTGAGTTGGTTCTCACTCATATTAACCACTCGAATTTAGGGAAGTGATTTAAAAATAAGTTATACATTTACAAACTAACAATAAACTTATAAACTAACTTATGATATAATAATAATTTCTGAGCAATGCTGATTAATCAGATTATTACTATTAATCAACTATTCACCACTCCTGTCCTTGCCTAGGGAGTCTCAGATCGCACTAGTGTTCCTTGAGACTCAACCTAAAACAATGAGCGCCCCGCCGTGATGAACGGGACGCTATTCGGCACAGAACTTCGTCACACCCGATTCACGCCACCGTACTGCCGGAGCTAAGATAGATAACGTCTTACCTATATCTTAAAGACGGCTAATATATATTATATGATCAAATATATATGAGGTAACGGGACTGTTACAATTATTACAATAATATTATTGTCTTATTATCTATGAGGGACTTAATAAATATTCAGTGCAGAAGAAATACATTTCCTCACTTAACAAGCTTTAGATAGTGTTAGTTCTGGGAAACAAAAAAAACTGTAGGAAAGTATGACATTGGCTGTAATGTCCTTATCATTGATTGTAAAAGGAATACATTATTCTCATTCATTTCATTTGTTTGTGTTCATATGTAGTACTTGTATGATAATATCTAAAATGGAAATTTAAAAATCTTACAATGGGAACTTTATAAAGTAAACAGGGGTGCCCACCCCCTCCAAGGTCGATGGCGCAAGAACCTACCCACCCTCTCTTCTCCAAAGATATTTATTGGTCACCTTTTCTTAATAACAGAGCAAGGTAAGGTAGAATTAGAAAAATCGTAGTTCATATACAATTACACTTGATGCTGTCTGTTCCCTGTGTTCCCTTTGCTCCTCAGTCCGACAATTCATAAACTCGTCGAAATATGCTCCCCTCAATAATTTTGATGGCACAACTTACGCTATGAACCCCCTTCTGGCCACCCCTGAATGTAAGTCTATCAAATTTGGCAAACCTTGATGCACTAGGTTATACACACAGTAGATCAAAAAACTATTGGCACACTCAATTTTTTCTGCAAATCTCAATAGGATAAAAATATTTCCCAGAAATAATATTTATATAACAAAGTGGCTTTTGAGAATTATATTTTAACAGCAATGGTTGTTCGGAATTCAAAAGCTATGTTTAAAGTAAACATAGAGTAAATTGTGTGGGTCAAAAAAGTATTGGCACATTTTTAAATGTTTACTATTAGCTACAGTAAAAACAAATTAAAACTTCTTCTTTTCCTTTCAAGAGATTAGAAACGAGGATTGGCGATAGTAAAATAAAAAAAGAAAATCAGTCTTTGCTATATATTTTACATAAAAAAATGGGTAAAACCAGTGAATATTGTGTCAGTTTAAAAAAAAACACATCATTAAATTACAATCTAATGGACTTGACTTGGGCATTTTTCTTTTTTTTATTCTTTATTCAATCATCAAAATCTTCAAAAGTTATATTTAGCATTTTTTTCATCATTACTAACAATGAGAGATAGTTAATTATTTAAAATAAACCAAATCAAAGGTACTTTAGAGAAAGACGTGTTGAAAACTAGGCATTTAAGCCCTGTAAAGTGATATAAATGGGGAAAAGACCTAAATGATTTTAAATACCACTTAATTATACAATGATACACCGAGTTTAATCAAAATCGTTAGAGCCGTTTTTGAGAAAATTGTAAAAATAAAGTAGCACTTCCGGTTAGCCGATTTTAAGGAAAAAGTTGCTGTATCGGGAAAATATTCGAATCTAAGTTTTCAACGGAAATACACGTTTTGATGTCCTCGTTTTGAGTTCAAACAAACAAATTCCACAAAATGGTCTGTGTGTTAACAGTATACCTCAAAAACGAGAAGTCGTACGAAACTGATATTATGTATTTAAGATAGGTATATGGTTGAGATGTTACAGCAACTTTTTCCTTAAAATCGGCTAACCGGAAGTGCTACTTTATTTTTACAATTTTCTCAAAAACGGCTCTAACGATTTTGATTAAACAAGGTGTATCATTGTATAATTAAGTGGTATTTAAAATCATTTAGGTCTTTTCCCCATTGATATCACTTTACAGGGCTTAAATGCCTAGTTTTCAACACGTCTTTCTCTAAAGTACCTTTGATTTGGTTTATTTTAAATAATTAACTATCTCTCATTGTTATTAATGATGAAAAAAATGCTAAATATAACTTTTGAAGATTTTGATGATTGAATAAAGAATAAAAAAAGATAAATGCTTATCCATGTCGAAAATGAATATCCGAAAATAATAGTCAAAAGGTATAAGTATAATATATCGTTGGATAGCGGAGAGTTTTAGAAAAAATAATATATAATAAATACAATTTTAGGAGGTAACGGAGAGTGAAGAAAAAAGTACGAATTCTAATTTCTGAAAACTAACATTATTTAACAAAAATTACATGTTTCCAAGAAAATTAAATGAAACTTTCTTACTAAATGTAAACTTTCGAACATTTTTTAAGTTTGAAAAAAGTATTTAAAGTCCACCAAATCAAGGCAATGACATTGTTTAAAATACTATTTCATTGTAATTGTCTGAAAGAAGAAGTGAAATATAAAAATATTTCATGGATATTTCGACAACATTAAATAAATTTACTGTAGTTTAACATCTCTAAATTTGATATTATATTTAAATAATTAGTTATCTTTCGTCCGTTTATTCCGGAAGATCATCATGTAACCTTTTAAAAGATTAAATTATTGAATACTTTGATGAATTTTGCCTTTGTGATATCCCAACAGTATCCACTTACAATTGGTGTGACAACTTTTGACCTATCTATGACAGGCAATGCAAATATTGTAATTCCATTTTAGTAAGTTTTGCAATGGAAAATAGCAGTTTAGTAACTGATAGTCGTACAATCCATGATCAACGGATCGTACAATCTATAATCAACCGTTTATATAATAAATAATAGTTTTGTTATTTTAATGGTATTAAAAAGGAAAGAGATGGTCCGGGGTGGCGGTCATAAATAAGCTAAATAGTGGCAAAACTATTTTATTAAAAGCCAACCTTTTAATAACTCATTAATGACCCGACTTTGCAGGTCTTCTTCAGGGAGGTGTGTTCAGCTAGAAGTTTCTCTTAGAACTGAAGGCTTTTAATAAAATAGTTTTACCACTATTTAGCCTATTTATGACCGCCACTCCGGACCATCCCCTTCCTTTATAATGCGACGGTCAATTATTAAATATTCATTAATGGTATTATGTTTGTGTGTGTAAGAAAGAGAAAAATGGATAATTAGTTTTGCTGGGTGAAAATTTCTGTCAAAAAATAAGTGTCGTAGTATACATGCATAATATATCGTGGGAAAGCTGAGGAGTTTAGAATTAATAATATCTAATATATAAACTCGTAAAGGATAATGGAGAATGACGAAAAAATTATGAAGAATAAGAATTAACGTTAACGGAAACCAAATGTTTCCACGGAAACTAAATCAAGTTTCCAAACTAAATTAAAACTTACAATTATGTTTAACCTTAGCAAATCTAAAGCTAATGGAGAGGTATTAAAAATGCTTAAACTAAAAAAGTAGATATTTAATACAACTATGCAGTAACCTATTAGGAGGTCAGTAAAATGTACTTTTGGCAAACTCAGGTCTTTTTTTGCGTTTCACCTCAGTAATAAAAGTTTTTTTTTTTTAAACCTGTCATAATAATAATATTAAGAATTATATTTCTAACAGAAGGTGGTATTTGAAGAAGATGCAACATATTTTGTTATCTCGCCAGCTGATAAAGTGCTATTTTGCTCAACAATTCAATGAATATTCCTTTCCCTCTCATTAAATTTGTATTGCTGTTCTGAATGGAGTTTGTTTAAAACTTTCTAAACTTTTTTATAATATTTTGAACACTACTAAAACCAAAATCTAATTTATTCGCTCTTTGTCGGTATCTAAGTCCATTAGAATGTAACTTAATGAAGTATTTTTTTTTAAATTGACACAATATTCACTGGTTTTGCCAAAATAAACATTAGTTTCAACTCAGTGCTGCATGAGTTTTTATTCTCAGGGTGCTGACTTATCATGGGCGAGCTATAGTATTCATGTTTAATCAAATTGTCTTTAATTTATCATTAATAATCTTTATAATGTAGAAATGGCACTCTAGAATTGCTTATGGGGTGCATTTTAAATTTCATGATTAGTTAAAACGTTTAATAGAATATTATTCTAATTCATTTACAGGACAATCTGAAAGGGCGTACATAATTCCAGTTGTATTTCTTAATGACTCTCTTGGAGCACCACTCCTACCAAAAACTCTTGAGTGTGCCGATTACGAGGCTGCTTTCCAAATTTCAGATAAATCGTTAGGAAAGTGGTATACAAAGGATGAACAAGCACAGCCACCATGCTATCGCCTGAAACCAGCTTCTGCTCATGTACGAAACCTCAAGGTAACCGAAAAGATATTAACTTATTTGTAGTAATATTTCAAAGGATTATAGTGAACTGTTAAAGTGTTACCTAATGGATCTGTTATAACCAATGAATTAAAATGTATAATATTTTCAGTTATATTAATTTGCTTAGAAATTTATAAAACTAGCCAATCTACTATCGATTGTGCATCTAAGTATTGTAGGTTACATTATTTTTTATTCTTAAGACTTGTAGAGAAAGAGGCGATATCAGAATTAATCACAATGATTCTTCCCTGTTATAATTAGCGGATTTTAATGTAAGGAGTAAGGAATTTTACTGTACAATCAATTCTATGTGTCCCCAACTATTTATACGATAATGCCGGATCTGAAATACCATTTAATCCCAGAAAGATAACTAGAAAATCTACTATTCGGTAGTAAATATATCTACGAAAAAGTTCAAGAAGCAATAGATAAACTTCAGAATAACAAAGAGAAGATTGGTTAAATAAATAAATTATATTTACTTATTTTTATATTTTTTTTTTACTGAACATCCCAACCAATCTTCTCTTCAGTTATTATTTCTTGTGTTTACTTATGTTAGTCTTCTTCTTCTCTTCTTCTTCCTCTTCCTTGTGCCTTTCAGCGTGGAGGTGCCTCAGTCATTGCCAGCCACACATCCCAGTCTCTTCCCAGCGCCTTCATGGCATTCAACCCACGTCCTCTTTGCTCTCTCAGCTTGAAGTGGTGATCCGTCTACATTAACCTAGGTCTGCCCCGGGGATGTCTTCCAGTTGGCCTAGCTTCAAAGTACTTCCTTGGATCCCGATCATCCTCCATTCGGCAAAAGTGGCCAAACCATTTCAGCTGCCTCCTTTTAACCACTTCTTTTACAGCTAAAACTCCCAGGTCCTCTCGTATTCGCTGATTTCTAACCAGATCTCTTGTGGTTCGGCCAGCCACTCTCCTCAGGCATCTCATTTCTGCGGTTGTTCCTCAGCTCCAGTGCTTGTCCAGTGAGACCCAGCTTTCGCTTCCATAGAGAAGAGTAGGTAGGTATATAGCCTTGAAAATGTGAAGCTTCGCGTTTTTTTCCACTTCCCTCTTTCCAGCAATGGTGTTGCATAATTGGTAGTAGACATTATTTGCTTTTTTGATCCGGTTGGAAACCTCCCCATCAATCTTTCCATTCCTGCTGATGACTGTACCTAGGTAGGTATATTCCTCAGTCTTCTCAAAGATTTCTCCTCTGCATCAGATCTCCATATTTTCTTCATTTCGTCCTATACACATTACCTTTCTCTTATTTGCATTGAGCATCATTCACTTTCTATCCAGCTCAGCTTCCCACTCTATGATTGCTTGTTGCATGTTTTCTTTTGAATCTGTTATGAGAACAATGTCATCTGCAATAACCATAGCCTGAGCAAGGATTTTCCTCATATTCCACTTCCCAATAACTGTTCGTGCTGTCCTCCTCTTGCATATTTTTAAGATTTAATCCATGGATATGATGAACAGTAGAGGGCTAAGGCTGCCTCCTTGTTTTAATCCTTTTTTCACTTCAAAAGGTTCGGATTCTTTTCTATTTATTCTTATTACGACCTTTGTGTTGCTGTACATGGGTTTTATAGCGTCTATTAGTGCATTGGGTACATTTTTCGCGGCTAGAGCTGCCCATATTTCTTGTCTAAGGACCGAATCAAATGCTGCCTTGATATCAAGAAGAGCTAGAAACATGCTCTTCCCTGATAGTTTTGAGTTCCCTGATAGTTTTGTACAATGATAGTTTTGAGGGAGACATGGTCATGGGTCTGGCAGTGCTGTCTGAATGCTGCCTGGTCTTCTTCGAGGTTTCCTTCTACAATTTCTTTCATTTTTTGTTCAAAGATGGATGTGTAGAGCTTGTAAACCACTTGGCAGAGACATATGGGTCTGTAATTCTTGCTGACACTAGAGCTTCCTTTCTTGTGTATAGGAATGATTATGTTATAGTCCTACTCCTTTGGCACAGTTTTTTGAGAAAAAGCTGATTGAAAGAGGTCCTGCAGGTGTTTCTGCAGTTCTAGTCCTCCAAACTTAATTACCTCTGGGGCAATGCCATCCCTCCCTGCTGCTTTTCTGGTCTTTAGCTTTAGGTCTATAGCCCTTCCCACATCCTCTTCCCAGATTACATCGTAATCTTCTTCTGGTAATAACCTATCCATAGCTGTTTTCTCACATTCATTGGAAAACACCTCAGCATAATGGCGGTTCCATCTCTTCAAGATTTGTTCATGTTTGGTTACCAGTAGTCCTCCTTCGCCTTTAAATTCCTTATGGGCTCATTTGTCTTCCCTTTTAATGCCTTGATAGTTTTCCAAAAGGTTTTTATGTTTTCTTTATAGTCATTTTGAAGGCTCTGACCAAATTCCTCCCAACTTTTCTTCTTTGCCACTCGTAACTACTTTTTTGGCTTCATTCCTTCTCCTGGTATAGAGTTCCCAGTCCACTGCACTTTTGGTCTTACAGTATGCTTTCCAGGGAAGTGGGGTAGCTCAGTAGTAGGGCACTAAGCTTCCAATGCAAAGGACCCCGGCTCATGGCATAAAATTTATTTATCTGTTTCATTGGCCTTGGGCGACCCTGGATCTCCTGGGGCACACCCAGCCTCTATAAAGTGGATACCCTTAATTAAATAATTGATTAAGGGGAAAAACCTGGCGGTTGAGCATGATCTCGGTCAAATCATCTCCTTGCACAACCGTAGACCTAGAAACATTGCTTTCCCTAAATAGTACTGTACCCCAGACCCTTCATGGGTTGTAGTGGTACAGTATTTTTTTTTTTTTAAGTATGTTTTCCATGCAGCAGCTTTAACTATTTCACTCCACAACTTTGTTCTTTTTGCTTTAGCAAAGATCACTGCTGTTCCACATATGGTTTCCGCTGTCTCCAGGATAACTTTTTTCATTTCTGCCCATATGCTGTCCACATTTCTATCCATTGTGCAATTCTGAAGTTTCTGAGTCAGGAGTTCGGCATACTCTATTTTCTTTTTTGGTCTATTAAACTTTTAAATATCTATTTTCTTACATTTCTTCTTAAAATTATTCCTAGGTTGGAGGATTTGAGTGTCTCCAATCAAGAGATAATGTTTTAACCCTATTTCTGCCCCTCATATGACTTTTACATATCTAAAATAATCTATAATGCTATTTGTATTTCTTTTCTCAGCAGAAATAATGATCTTATGGACTTGTTTATGTGGAAACATTGAGTTACCGATAAGAAGATCATAATCTATGCAGAGTTCTATGAGCCTCTGACCATTATGTTAGTCTTTTATTTTTATGTTAATGTTCCATGATTTTGTAATCTAACTATAATTCGCCTCTAATTGTGTGACAGATAAGTCCAAGAGGTGTAGGACGGTTTGAGACACGTATAAGGCAGTGCACTTGTTGGCAGGTTTATACTACAAAGTGTGCTGTGAAGAGGTTAGTCTGGAGGCACTTCTGCAAGAAATCTGGCAGAAAATTGGAAGGATTTTTAATCGATAAAAGATCATGTGGAAGAATTCCATAGAAGAATGGAATAGACATTAGATGGCATCCCTGAAGGAAGCCATATTGAGGAATTTCTTCCCCATAGACCATTCAAGACTCAAGTGGAAATGGGTTCTTTCTAACTATTTGGTCTGGCAGATTCTAACAAGGAGTTGTGGGGAAAACTAAAGGCAAATAGAAAGGAGATCTACTCCACTTGAAGAGTCCCTTAGATAACAGAACATCATGTGGTAGTAGGATGCAATACAGAGCTCGGATGCAAAGTGCCAGAAGGGCTGGCCATAGAGTGGCTGGCTGTGGATAAGGTACAGCCCCACCTTTCACATAAAGTGTGCAACCTTGCACTAAGAGCATCATAGGTTAACCCTTTTCTTAATGTACCCACATTAAGAATTCACGTAATTAATAGAGAACTTGTATATACATTAAACTTTTTTTTTATAACAAAAATAGATTTTTGGGAGTTGTGGACTTAATGTATCACCACTACTGCAAACATGAACTAGGCATTATTAGTCAGGAGAACCTGTTGTCCTATATTATTTTCAATGTTTTCATAAAAGATCTCAAACTAGGGCTTCCTGGTAGGAGTTTCTTATTTGCGGATATCATTTTATCTGTCCTAGCCATTAACTAATGATCTGTTTGGGGCTGATTTATTGCTCTGATTTTATATAATATTTGAAACTAATTATTATTAATTGATTTAATATTTTTTTTATGATTCTAGAGCTCTATTAAGGAGGAAAGAGACAAAGCTTTAAAGGAATGGCGCCTTGAAGTGGACAAAATTTTGGCTATTATGTTGTCCTCTTTCCAAGAAGAGTTGAGGGATACTTATCTATCTACAGTTGTTGAACAGGTAAATTCTTTATTATACTTATGTATTATCGTAGTTTTAAAATTTTTTTCCCCATTAAATGTTCTTATTTTATGTAAAACAACATAGTAAAATATTTATAATTGATTCATCATAACTCCTATATAATACAATTTATTGTTTTGTTAACTGTTTACATAGAAAAATATCTTTTATTTATTTGTTAAAATAAACTATAGAAAAAATAATCCAACACTATTTTGAAATTAAAATAACAGATGTCACTACTTATTTGGTAGTATTTAAGTGCTTACTATGCTTTATATTATACATTGTTATATTATATTTTGTATTAGCATAACAGGTCTATAATTAATCATTATGGTCTGTACCTCATAATAAACATTTTATTTGTTAGATGATTCGCAAAATTTTAAATTGATTTTTAGTAAAATTAAACTTTAAGTATTTTATTTGCCTCTATTCCTTTTTTTTTTATTTTATTGAGTAAAATCTGTACTGATCCTGATTGTCTAGACATTTTGGACACAGTTAGTTATTAAACAGGTTTCAAAATAAAAAAACATTTGTAAACAATTTTAAATTTGTGAGCAGTGCGTACAAAAATTATTAAAAGAGGAGGTTTGACTTATTTATTTGGCTATTATGAAAGAATGGCAATTCATGCCAAAAAATATGGTACACATTCAATTTTTCAAAAGTATAAAGACTGTTTTGACAAAACAGAAGCATGTTAAAAAAGTGGGTGCTTTGTATATTTAGTTCTAGAAAATTACAGATATTTTTCAGTGAATTTAAAAAAATTAAAGAAATCAATTCCAACTGCCGTTTCTGTTCCAATTCTTCAGTGATTACTGTTTTGATTAGCTTCTTTGCCGTCAAGAAAGGGATTGGCATATCTGACTGATCTTTTCCAGTACCTTCTTTTGCTAATCGGTCAGCATTGTCATTACCTGTCAACCCACAGTGTCCTGGTATCCAATGTAGAACAACATCTTTGCCTTCTAAAATCAGTTCTTCAATCAATTCCTGGCACATACTAATCTGATTTGTGAAACAGCAGGAAGGATCTGAAATGGCAATTGTTACAGTTTGCGAATCAATTAGGACCACAACGTTTTGCGGTTTAGACTTTTTTATCATTTCTAACTCTAGAAAAACTGCTTTTACTTCGCCACCAAAGTTACTTGCTAGCTTTCCCATAGGCTCCGACATTTGGAAACGTTCTGTATAAACACCAGCTCCCCCATCCTTTCTTTTACTATTTGCAGAACCGTCTGTATACTTGTGTAACCATGGGGGACTGGTGTACCTCCCCTTATGGTTTAGAGTGGTAAATTCCTTAGTTCTATCTTAGAGCAACTTTGCTTGTTGATTGGTCACAGGAGCTGTAAATTGATTTGTGCTGACTTTGCAGAGACCCTTGGTGGGATTGTTATGAAATTTTCTCTTGAAGGAATAACAAGTCCTTTAATTTCTCTAATTGTCTCCAATTTCTTCATGAACGTGGCGTGAGTTTTAAGCCTCATTCATGTGTAACATTCATTTCAGTGGTCAATTTCCAAATGCATCAGTTTCTCACTCATTGTTAGCGCAGCGATCTCATTTCGTATCTTGATGGGTTCTGTACACGTTTGAAGCTGCATAGCTGCGATAGGGGTTGATTTTGGGACGCCAGTAATAATTCGGAGGACCTTATTTTGCAATTTTCAATTTTTACTTTTACTTCCCTATATATGTAATATATAGTAAGGGTAAGTATTGCGATCGTGAAAATTTTTGAATCTGAGTTTTCAACGGAAATACACGTTTTGAGGTCCCCTGAGTCCAAATAACCAAGTTCCACAAAATGGTCTGTTTGTGTGTGTGTGAATGTATGTGAACAGCTCAAAAACGAAAAGCCGTTCGAAACTGAAATTGTGTATTTCATGTTTATATAATCCCTGGATGTTACAGTACTTTTTCGTCAAAATCGGCAAATCGGAAGTGGTACTTTATATAGTCGATTTAACACATTTTTATAATTTTCTTAAAAACGGCTCTAACGATTTTTATGAAACTCAGTATAACAGTGTATTATTAAGTTTTTAATATAATGTAGATTTTATTCTCATTGATGTTCTCTAACAGGGCTTAAATGGCTAATTTTCAATATTAGCTTCTTCTAAAGTACCTTTAAATCTTTTTATTTGAAATAATTAACCATTTCACATTAATCTTTGATAAAAAAGATAGTTTTTTTTTTTTTTTTATTATTATTTTTTTTTTATTGATAAATATTACAATCTGTCTCAATAAAGGACATTTATAATAGAGTTATGAGAGCACATTCACACCATATTTACAAATTAAAAAAAATAAGCTAACTTCAAATAATATAAAGCTACAAAAGAACAAAATAAAATATCATAGTGAGAAAAAAAAAAAAAAAAAAGTAATGAAAATAAACATCTTAGACGCAGGCATACCTATTACACTATTTACAGTCGGCCATAGTAACTCCGAACCATACTTATCCCCCCACACGTGGAGGGAAAGCAAGGTTTTAGGAGATCCCTGCGCTTCTTCCTCAACCATTTCACTGGCATTGAAAGCCAGCGGAGATTGAGTGAGGGCGCTACAACCACGGACACTCATGACTTGAGTGGAGAATCTGGCCACTGCCAGAACTCCAGTATATACATGTTACAAAAGGTCACGGGGCCACTGCCGTTTCAGCCTGCGAGGAGGATTGTAGGGATGAGTGGTGCTAGATAAGGATTGTGCTACGGGATTAGGGTGATGGGTAAGGTTCTGATGAAATTTGGAGAATTTGTCTGGGATAAGATCAAGAATAAATGGAATATTAAGGTCATTGTGCAGGGTTTTATTAGAGACATGAAAGGGAGCATTGACTATTGTACGGAGGACTTTGGACTGGAAGGATTGAATGCGTTTGATGTTAGAAAATTTGGTTGTCCCCCACAGTTCTAGTCCGTAGGTCCACATGGGTTTTAATATTGTCTTGTAGATCAGTAGTTTGTTTTCAATAGAAAGTTTAGATTTTCTATTAAGTAGTCTATATAGCTGGCCATAACGTCGGTTAAGTTCCTGTCTTTTCAGTCTAGTATGCGGATTCCACGTTAGTCGTCTGTCTAGGAGAAAACCAAGGTACCGGACTGTGTCGCAGAAGGGAAGCTGGATGGTATTAAAGTAAACTGGTGGACAGGAATTACGACGAAGGCTGAAGGTTATATGTTTACATTTGGATTCATTGGCTTTGATGGGCCATTTCTTGCACCAGTGTTCAATCAAGGATAGGTGCCGTTGCAGGTTTCTGGACGCTGTTTCAGGATCTGAGTTAAAAGATAGGATCGCAGTGTCATCATCGAAAGTTGCCAGGAGTGTATCGGGATGGACGAGAATGTCAGCGGTATAGATGATGTAAAGGATGGGACCCAAGACGCTGCCTTGAGGAACTCCAGCCTCAATTGAATAACAGTCGGAAAATTCCGTACCACAGCGAACTCGAAAGGAGCGGTCGGAGAGGTAGGATTGGAGTATTAGGTATAAGGACTGTGGTAGATGGGATTTGAGCTTTGAAGAGCAGTCCGGCGTGCCACACCCGGTCAAAAGCTTGCGCTATGTCCAGAAATGCACTCGAGCAAAACTGCTTGTTTTCTAGGGCTGAGGATATGTGGTCAACAACTCGGAGTCCTTATTGGACGGTAGAATGTTGGGAACGGAACCCGAATTGATGGGTAGGGATTTTACGGGAGTCTATTAAGGGTAGGATTCTTTTCAGGAGGATCTTTTCAAAAGTTTTTTGAAAGAATTGGGGGTAGGCTAATTGTTCTATAGAATGATGTATTATTGGGAGGCTTGCCTGGTTTCAGGAAAAGGATGATGGTGGAATGTTTCCATAGGAGAGGGAAGTGGGTAGTTCGGAGGATACAATTGTATATATAGGTTAGAAATATGATGGCTTTGGATGGTAGTTATCGTAGGATCTGCGGGGTTAGAAGGTCGTATCCAGGAGATTTACGAGGAGTGATTTTGCGTAATATGTATTTGACCTCAGAGGGATTAACTGCTTTAGGTGGTAAGGAGAGTGGGATAGGTGAAGAAAGGAATTCTTCTACTTTTACTGTGTGGGTAGGATGAGATTCCGGATGAGGAGCGAAAGTATAGGAAAGGTGTTTGGCAAACTCCTTGGCTTTATCTTCATCAGATGCTGCCCAGGAGCCATCACCTCGTCGAAGAGAGTGGGAAATATGATGAGCTTTGAGGATTTTTTTGGTGATATTCTAAAGGGAATTATCATGAGCAGAGAGTGTGGTGAGGTAGGAATTGAATGATTGGGATCTGAAGGTGGCTAATTCTTGTTTTAATTTTTTACAGTGATAATTGAAGGAGTGGCGGTCGGCTGGATGTCTGGTACGTTGCCATAATAATCTGGCACGGCGTTTTATGTGGATTAGGTCAAGGAGGTGTTGAGGTAAATTATGTTTCTTAAGGATTTTTGAGGAGTGATCAGGGGAGGAAGCAGTCCAGACTGCTTCTTGAATTTTGGTAGTGAAGGAATGTACTGCATTGTCCAGGTCTTCGGGGGTTTTCAGGGTTACTCTGAGGTCAATTTTATCGGAGAGGATTTGATGAAAGAGTTTCAAGTTAACTGGGCCTCTGATGAAGGATGGTGGAGAGGGTTTAGGAATAGGAGCTAATGATACTTGGAATATTAATGGGCTGTGGTCTGAGGAAAGCTCATCAAGATGGGCAAGGGAATTGTGGAGGGTACCTAAACCTTTGTGGATAAAGAAATCGAGGATATTGGGATTATGTTTAGGATCAGTGGGCCAGTAGGTAGGTGAATTGGGAGGAAGGAGGGTAAAACATTGGGAATTGAGTGCAGACAGCAATGTTCGACCACGAGAATTCGTGGTTCTTGAACCCCATTGTTGATGCTTGGCTATGCGAACGGACATCGTCAGAACGTCTTGGTTTGCTCTACACTTCATAACAGTGATCTTAATCAGGTCAAGATGTTTTTCAGCTGTCTCTACCAGATGGTCTGTATGCTTTGCCTAACTCAACATATTGTCTAGTACTACTCCAAGGTACAAAGGTTGAATTGGGAAAATAAAGAAAACCATAAAAAATAAATAAATGTATTTAATTAAAAAAAAAAAGATTTGGACGCGGAGTGAGCTACGAACTCGAAACCCATGGGTTTAAAAACATATGTTAATTAACCACATAACTTATCGATCCTTACTTGGTTAATATTGATTTTCCCGAATCCCTCCAATAGGGTTTTACAATTCCTTAGTAAACCTTTTAAAAATATATATATAATATATACATAAAAACCTGAAAACAAAGAATTTTTTTAATTTTTTTACATGGGGATATTTATCTATAAAATGTATTTTAATGTACATATTGTCAAGGTAGGTATAAATAGTATATTGATCATAAGACCTCGACAGGGCGTGTTTAAATTAGGTTAGTATAACTGTTATTTTAAAGCTTTGATCAGTACATCTTATTACCATAAAAATTTATTATTCACAAAAGTTATGAGAGTATTCACAATGCATATATATATTTAAAATTTAGAGCTTGAGTTTTTTCATAATAATGTAATGAGAAATATAATGTACATCTTTTAGGTACTAGGTACATTGATTGAGCGCGCACGTGTGGCGCTGTCAGGTAGCTGTAAGATAAACTATTACGCATGTAGATTTGACGGGCAGATACTAGATGTCCGCTAAAATAATTAAAACAAGATATTGATAATTCTAATTGTTTTTCTTTCCTCTTGATAATTCAAACTTGTTGATAACTCGAAGTTTCGATAATTAGAATTTTTTAATAGACCCTTGGAATTATCGAGAGTCGACTGTATACGACTTTTTTTGTTACACAACTTGAGGTGAATCTCAGGTTTTTCCCTAATGAACCTCTATTTTATTGAGAATTGACTTAAAGCTTATCAAACAAGGATGTTTTTCTAAAAGTGTGCTATCTGTAGTATAGTTGGAGGATGATAAAAAATAATCGCGAATAATTTATGATTTTTTAAAATAGCGAACTTAGTTTAGTTTAACTGCTTAAAAGTCCTATTTAAATGGTTTTAACAAGGACGAATTCTACTCTCATTTGAAGTAAATTTTGTCTAATTTACAGTTAAATAATTCTTAACTACTTAAATTAAGTAGTTATTTAGTTATCACTTCCTATTTAATAAAAAACCTGACTTACTTTAAAAAAAAAAACACTTTAATTTCCTGCTTTCCTGCTGAAAATTGAGCCATTTTATCACTCCTATAAATATTTCCCTCTATTTATAGACAAACTTGTGGTCGATATTAGAGAAGTGCGGCAAGTGGTTTATCAGGTTCTAGGTTTATCAAAGGTTTTGCATCCCTTACAGCTTCTTCTAATTGATTTAAAGGGTTGAACATTTGGTTTAAGTTTTTATTTTAAAGTTTAATTAAAATTAATTATAACGGGTTAACTAGTAAATGCGGAAGTTCATTTTGTGGACTAAAATATATCTTATTGATTAAAATAACCAGTTCATACATTATAAATTTTGTATTTTTGAAAAAATAATCAAGAACTAGGAATTTTTAAATGGTTTGGTAATACATACTCAGAATAATATTATAGGAGGTCCAGAGTACTCTACTGATGTCCCGAGAACTTGCCTCTAGATGTATCTGGCTTCACCGGGCAGCTCACACACAACCATCCCAGAGTCAACTTACTCCTAGTAAGTCACACAACCTTTGTTAGACATATTGTAAAAATTTTTGGTATTTACTATTTTCAAATTAAAACTTTTAGTACCCTTTTTAGCTTTACCTCTGGGTTTATTAAGTAATGGATCACTAATTTAAGAAATGTTTACTTCCTTAAGTAATTAAAAATAAGGAATTATTTATTTATGTTTTATACCACTGTCTTTTTCTTAATTTATAAAATGAAAACATTTGTATAAAGAGTAAAAAAAATCATTTTAAATGAAATAGGTTTTTGGTGAAAATTGATTTCTTTGAAGTTCTTAAATCATGGAAGACATTTTCAACATTTGTAGCATTTTTTTTTTAAGGCGATAAATAAGTAATTGATCGGTGAGCTACTTTTCAGTTATTATGAAGCTTCTCAATGATGACCTCTCAATTTAAGGGACACCTCTATTTACATGACAAATTTGAATGTAATGTCCACTGGCGTATACAAAAACAATGCTTTTGAAACCTATAATTTAGGGACTTTCAAGATAGGAGCCCAAGGAAAATAAAATTTCCTTAAAATAGTTTTAAAGACATTTTCGATAAAGGACAATGTAAGATTTCTTTCTTTACTTTTCCAAAGATTGTTCTTCGTCCTTTTTTAATTAAAAAGGGAATTGTTATTAATTGGGATATGTCATTGTAATTTTGATTACCTCTCAATAGATTTTAGTGGATAGATGTACTCCATGAAATCCAAAATTCATAAACAAAAAAAATATATTAACAATATATATTAAATTAAGGTACTAAGCCATGCTTCACATTTACTGTTATAATAACTACATCAGCGTAAGATAAACATATATTAAATAATTTCAATACATAAATTATTTAAAATAAAATATATAAGTAGCTATACTATCATGTATGGTGTGTTAATCATCATAACAGTTCGTCAACACTACATAAAAAAATTTATAAAACTACATTGAAACATACACTTAATAAAAAAAAACACGTGTCACACTTACCCTATATAAATCACATTATACAGATAACATAAAATGACAATAATAAGGATTGCAATAAAAAACAATAATTACTAAAGATACATGTCTATTTTGAAATACAATGGTGAATGCTAGAGGAAGGCTAGTAAATAAAAAGTTTAACCTTCTGTTAATTTAGTTAGAATCAGAAAGAAAATTTCTGAAAAAAGTAACAAATAAAAATTTAAATAGTTTGGTTTCGGAAAGAGGCTGTATGCTAGAGATCTGGAGTGGAATTTTCGGACGAATGCTACAGTAAAACACAGAGGTGACCCCACTTAATGATGTGGGGGTGTCTTTCTAGATGTTGAGTTTGAGTTCTTTTGTGAATAGACGGAAAGCTGTATGCAAAACGGTACCATAGCATCCTTACATACCTTTTGGGCTTTAGCTGATTGGGCTGATCATTTTTTTTTCAGTAAGATGATGATAAAAAGTATGCTATTTTTCTATTTTCTGAAATAAAAGTAACAATTAATATAAAAATAAAAATAAATATGGAATGTTAAATTAACTGAAAAAAAAAAGCGAAGAATTCCTATATTAGAACAATTTTAAGTCCCACATTTTTTATTCTATAAACCCTTCTTGACATATCTGATATGTATTCCAATGGTCCGACCTAACTCTCTCTCTTTATTTTTTTTACAGTATAATCTATTGATTGATGAGTATGCTGTGTTATTTAGCAACTCAACACAGTTGAGCAGCAGTGCAATGTTGTATTTCTCTCTTATACAACAGCTGTTGTTGTTAACAATAAAGAGTAAAGACTGAAGTAGACAACAATGTAATGAAATGTGAACAATAAATAAGGTAGTATTATTCAGAGCAGTAAAACGGATTGGTCCCTTGGCTTGTTGTTAATTGAAAATATATATGCTAATATAAATATATATTACATCTACAATGTCTGCAAGGTTAGATAAGTTGACTATTAAGAAGATAAAACCAATTTTAAATTGAAAAATTTATCATTTTTATAAAAATTTGGTTTGTTCGAATACTTTTTCACACCACTTTAGGTATAATCTATTAAAAATTAAAGCAACTAAGAGATACGAATACACAATAGAGATATAATTAGTCTGAGTTACGTTTACTGCAATGGATAAATAAATAAATCTAATATAGTTTTCGGTAATTAAAATAACGATACAATCTGATAACAAAAAGTATGTCATTATAAAGTACCTTAGACTCAATTCAATCAAAATAAATTGTTATTTTCTAGGTATAATGCTTAAAAAATCCTTAATTCTAAAATAAATGCAAAATATATTACAATATAATGTTACAAAATAATAAAATATAAATTAATGTGTGTGGTAACAAGATATTGTATGCTCCAAGGCGTCTGAAAAGAAGGTGGCTTCGTGATCTTCTTGTGTAAATTTATTATTTGATTGCTACCAATGGGTAGTTTCTCAACAAGCGTTTTCATGTTATTATATTCCTGAGTGCACGTTTACTAGATGTATTTTTTTTATAATACAGTTGTAAATACCAAGAATAAAAAAAAAATGCTAACTACAAAAAATGTATTTTATTTTGTATTTGAAAGCCTACTTAGGTTTGATTCAATACTTCAATTGTAGTTGGCGTGGTAATTTAACTGAGACTTCTGTGGTGAACTCATTTGTTTCTGCGCCTCGCGCATCAATAACATTTTGAACTCGATTAATCTTTCTTTGAGCTTTGCATTATTCGAAATATTCAAAGAAGAAGTATTTAGCGAATCGTTGCTAAATAACATTAATTATAGCCTATATATCAGAAGGATTTTTGCAAATGCCGAATAACTCTTATTTTAATAGTATTTTTTTTTTAAATAAATGTCTCAACAAGCAAACAAAAACAATCAACTCATTCATTTGTGCTACTTAGTTATGTCAGAGAAAAATTACACAGAGATATTTTGGGGTATATTTTAGTAAATTAATTTTGAAGTCTCGATCAGCCATTTTCAACTCCCGGATCATGATTTTTCAAATACAGTTCCTGTCTGCATAATTATAGGCCGCTTTGAATTCTTCAAATAAGTTGTTGATATCCTGAGCTACTTTCCATCGTTTTTTTAGTACTTGTTTCAGGATGAAGATCTGGTTTAGCGTCTTCCCTCCTCTTCTGAATGCAGCTTGGTGGCCACCTATTATATTTTTGTATAACGGATATATCCGGTGTAGTAAGATATTGATCATTATAGGCATTATCTTATAGGCACCCAGAAGGAGTGCTATGCCTCTATAATTGCTTAACGCATTTATGTAATATATGTGCTGATGGAAGATTCCCAAAGAGTCCAAAATAATAGTTCATGCCATGCAACACCGAGCCTATGCAAGAAATTACTAAAATAGTGAAAAAATATTTTATTTGTCACTAAAAACTATTCTATTTTTCACTATTTTAAGGTTATTTATGACCACTCCCTACAGAGTACACCATCTCTGCCCTGAATATTATACAACGGTCAACCATTTAGTACTTAAATGTTTGACTTACTTGAATGGTGTACTTAAATGGTTGTACATAGATGTAAATAAAAAAGGTTTTTAAGTGTTTCTAATAACGTTCTTTTATAATTAACACTTTACTTAAGTAATAATCATTGTACGTAATCTTGTCAAGCAAAACTAATGTGTTATATTTTAGCTTGTTATCATTTTGCTCTGTGCCCAAACCCATCAGAAAGATGCCGTCTACCTCTTTCTATGATTCCTAATTTTGGTGTCGTCAGGGGTGCCTATCCTCCCCTCCAAGGTCGATGGCGCTTGACCCTCCCACCTTCGCCTAATATATTTTATTTCCTCTTCTTAAAAACAATGCAAGCTTAAGTAAAATTTTAAAAATCACATATCATATACAATTAGACTTTCAGTGGTCTGTACTATGCGTTTCCGTTGTCCCCTGGTTTAAAAAACTTTTCAATTCGAAAATTCATAATGTAGTAAATTAATAGGCAATAGATCATCAAATTCTCAGCATTATTTTATAACTAGATGTTGCCCTAGATTTCGATCACGTAGTCTTCACTCTAATACAGATATCATATATATCAGATATCATATATATCAGATATCATATATTAAATATGAGTGCCAGGCGTTCGTTTTAATGCCGCAGAAAGAAAGAAAGTGTTTGTGTTTGAAATTTGTTTATGCTAATACTTATGGGGAACTTGTGAACGACTTGGTCTCTGGTAAACCTCCCTTCTTATCTTATCTTACGTCATGTTCTTATCTTATGTTATGTCACATAACCTTCCTTTTTCATCTAATGTTAGCTGTTGTGTGTGTATGTATATATAAATCCAACATTCTTCTCACATTGCGCGAACCATTCACATCACACTTTCGGAATCATTCGAGGTTTTGCTATGTATGTTGCTGTGAACATTCACGCAAACATTTAGGCCATCGTGTGACACCGCCTTAAAAATAGCAAACTCTATTTTTATTTAAAGTAAATTTTGTTTAGTTTACAGTGAAGCAATCGTTAATTACTTGAATTAAATAATTTTTTAGTTATCACTTTTTATTCAACAAAAAACCTAACACTTAAAAAAAAAAAAACACAAAACTTTAATTTCCTACTTTTCTGCTTAAATTATAAACATTGTATATATATGTAAACTTTTTGCTCTTGGGTTCTGCTCCTTTAAATATTTCTCTCTACTTACGGGACACCCTATATATGGGTTTAGGCGTGTAAAAGGCAAAATTGGTAACATGGGTCACCAATGGAACTCTTTTTACTGCCAAAAAAAGTCAGAATTATTCGGTCTCCTTTTTTTTCATATATTGTATTACTAGTAAACAGTGCATCGGAGCGAAAAACTTATTCTTTAAGAAATTAAAGAACGTTAAATTGTGCTTCGAACGAGTACCTAAACTTAATAATTTGATTAAGTGATATGGTCGATAACCACGGTCTAAGAACGTTAATTTTTGCCAAGTTTGTCAAAAACTGAGAAAGATTGCTAT